CTCTATTGGCAAGAGGAGGATTGTCAGAATAACGATCGCAGAGCAAAGTCTTAAATGAGGGCAGTCCTTTAATGAGGACTTGAAATTTCTCAGAGAAGACATTTTTGATATCAAGCAAATTTCAAATGGTTATATCTGGCTGGCAGCAACTATCTCAAAGCCGTCAGTGAGTTTTGTTCATCGGATCGTCAGGAGCCAAAGTTAATCAGCCTCTTTTGTAGAGCTTTCTCTGTGGTTTGCAAAATAATTATAGCTTTAAGTTCAGTCGGTATTCCTACAGTACTGGCAACAGCGAAAACAGTGGCTACGCCTAATGAGTCCAATACTCTGCTGTCAGAAAACTCTAAAACAAGCCCCGTCCCTTCCGTGACCGACGTCGCCACCAGGTGACGATAGCACATCGCCCCCGGTCACGAGTGGCAGTCGCTCACCCAACACGCCGATCACCTGCGCAGACTGACAAAGCCCGCAGTGGCTAAAAAGGCACCCATCTAGGACAATTATTGATCTTTGTACACGTTCAAATGTTCATTGTTTTGCAAAGTTAAGGGGCTGACAAAGAATTGCCAAAACATGTTTTGCCTAATAAACTGACTTTTCAAATTACAGCTTTCAGCAAGAATAGTGACCACATGCCGCCAGGATTTTGTTGCAGCAGTTCATATCTGTCGCATTTTTGATATCACCTGTGCAGCATACCACAATTTGCTCAATTCGTACAAGCCGTCATATAAGAAACGCAACAGCGACAACAGTCAGCAAAAACAGAAAAAAAGCTTAACTGAAACGTGTCAAATCAAGTGCACATGCAAGCCCAGTCAGTAGGGTGACCCTTGTGAATGCTGTTGCAACTTACAGTTTCAATAGGGTCTCGCATTGGTTCAGGGCCCTCCTTCACGTACTTTTCAGCACGTTGACGCTGCAGCTGAAACATGTTGGCTCCACGGGATTCCCTGTTTTCGGGATCCTTTATGCTGTCGGCCACACGATGAGCCATCTCCATTTGCTCCTCCAGAGAGGGATAAAGGGATGCAGGGTCGATGTAGAAGGCTGAGTTTGAAAAGGCCTTCCCTTTGTGGACAGGAGTGGGACCAAAGGGAGGTGAGAAGTTGTTTTGGGGGATGATTCCTTGTACTTGTACTTAGGAATAAAGTTCATTCATAGAGTTTCAAAATTATCTGAAAAGGTGGACCATATGGTCAGGCATTTTAA